TTTTTTCAGAGAAACACAGTACCGATTTACGCACTTCCTTTAGGTAGTCACTGCGGTCAGGACAGTCGCAGGGAAAGGGGAAGCGCAACAGGGAAAGGCGAACAACTGACTCTCGAAGATCCGACCTCTCTGAAATTCGTGCGATCGCTGTTGCCACAGCTGATGCGCTCTTTGCACCGTGAAGCGCACGAGTGAAACTCCCGAAGGACAGTCTCCACGGAAATGCAGAGAATGAATTTTCTGGGTTTGAATTAATTCGTGTAGAAGTACACATTTTAATGTTCATCCATCGAGCATTGGTTTGCAGATTTAATTACATCCTCGAAGGGTAACGACTGATGATATGGAATTCATAAAGTTGTCGAGATCACAAGCATGACCACGAAACCTGCAGAGGAGAAGCGGAGATTGCTGGATTTTATGAGCCTAAAATGGAGGCAAGGCTGATGAGCGGCAACAGACGGAAGAGGCATTCTCCGAATACCTGTTGACAGTTCTCTCCCAGCAACTGTTGAACGAGCTATGGTGGTGTGCAATCATCGCACCGAAGTAGACTGGATGTACATATAGAAAGAACTGGAAGAGCTCAAGAGGAGGCATGATATGGCTCTTGTCATCATTGGTGAGCGAGAACGAGACTGGCAGGATGAAATTCTCCCGCGACATCGGTGAATTCCCTGATGGCAAGCACTGAGAGGACCCGCGCGAGACCGCGCGCAGGAGCGTAGGCGGCCGGGAAGGTCGCCGAGGCCTTGCGGAGGACAGCGGACGGTCGGAGCGAACTTTCAGAAATCGATCGAAAAGGATCGATTCGCGCTGACAGGCAGTGCGGACGTGCCCGCGACCAGGCGTCGGCGAGTTCCGCGCAGTGCGAGGGCGTACCGTGCAGGTGCAACGCGGGCCGCGCACCGCTCGCAGGCGAGAATCCACCGCATTGCTCTTCTTCTGGGGGGGGAGCGGCGTGTGAGACGGACGAGACTCTGCATGCATGGGGTTCCATGAAAACTGCTCAAAGGGGATGGACTCGACGACGACTCTCTTGAGTCCATCTTGTCGCCACTGCCCCGGACACTTCTCACTGGCCCGAAATCTGAGCACCACCGAGAAGACGGAAATTCTGGACTCCAGGTACGTGGAAATTCGGAATCAACTTTGCGTCTAGTGGAAGGCAGGTATGCAATCTGAATTAAGAGCAGCAGCAGGCTGAGCTCGTAGCTAGGGATGGGCAAGGCTCGGATAACAGCTAGCCGGCTAATATTTTATTGTTAGCCGGCTAGCCGATTATACAGCCAGCTAGCCGATAAATATTGCCTCCTTTGCCACCAAGAGGCCGAAAACGAACCGTAAACTCGGACCGAATTTACGTTTTCGGCTGATTATTTACTCAGCTTCGACCGAAATTATCCAATAAACATTTATGTCGGAAGAATATTTCGGTTGATGGCATTCCCGGGCGAGAGTCGATTAGCCGACGGCTAGCCGGCTAAATTTGAGGCCGAGCCGGCTAGCCGTTTGAATCGGCTAGCCGAAAGTTAGCAGGCTACGTGCCCATCCCTACTCGTAGCGCCAGCGCGCGAGACAGAGCCGAGCAGTGCACAAAGCACAACGCGAGCGCACCGCTTGCTCGCATAAAAAGTCTTAAACTTGAGACTTTATCTGCGAGCAAGCCTTAAACTTGAGACGCATGATGAGTAGATGACAAATGAGAAACGTATTCCAACTTTTGTACGATCTGAATTTATTGATATTTCCAAGGCAGTATGAATGTTCAAGGGCAATAAAAAACGATATTTGGCCACATAAATAGCAGTTTTGCTTGTTTAGAGGTTAGATTAGATTGCTTGTTTAGGCTACGTTATATTATAACTTAGATGGATTAATAGAATATTTATAAAAAGTTATATTTGCTTAAAAAAATCTACATAATATGAGAGAAGTCATCATATTCTTTATTATTAAGGTTTATTGTCAATTAAACTTTACTGAAATTCAAAACATAGACGGTAGGAATACTTTACTAAATTCAATGACCAATTGAGTTTTTTACTTGAAATATTTGATGTTATCTACATATCATTTTGTCATACAATGAGTAATAAAAAAATTTGTACATTTCAATCAACAAAAAATGCTTAACCTACAAACTGAAGCTTAAAACATGTCCCTACTAATGGGACATTTTGAATGAAAGCAACATAGTGAGTGGATAGAGTGAATGCTGATATGCGTTACAATCTATACACGAAATCAAAACATCTATATCTGATTTTGATGACCAAACTACAATCAAAGGTTTGATGTTTATTAGTTTTACATGTGACAGTATTTCAATGCTTCCCCATTGTAATCTTCTTGGGTAAGCTACAAATGGGATTGCAATCGCCAAGCTCTCTTTAAGGATAGAGATGTGCAAAAAGTCTATTTCACTTATCCAGCTAGCTGCGGACTTAGACATGCTTCTTACTTCAGATTTTTATATGTTTATCGAAATAGATACAAGAGTCTATCATTCTATGAATCAATTGTTATCAATTTCTCCAGTCTATTTTAGGGATATTTTGTTATTGCTATACAAAAATCACAAGCTTGTATAATATGATCATATTCTGTATGCTTTTATTTTGGACTAAAAAATGATTTTTGATGTACTTCCAAGGCAATACTACTGGTTCCTAGTCCCAAGTTCATAGTGTGGTTCTTCTGCTATCCACTTTCACTCCAATTTCAGTTACCTTTATTTTACCTTTAATTTACTCGAACTCACCTGAAGCCTACATGCCCTTAAGTAACCGTCCGTCCTTGGACTTCACTTCTATATGTGCATGGCGTGCGAGCGCCTAACTCACGAGGTAAGCAACTAATAACAGAAGTCACGATACATCTCGTTGGATATAGACATCATGACGAAGAGTTATAGAGACACGAGGGCACTTTCCATTAGACTTCTGATTTGACTGCTTTGATCAATGTGACGAAGTGTACCGCGAGCCGAAGATCGGTCTACAGCAATGGCCCTGCTTTGAAACGCGTGGGAGCTCTGCTCACTTTCCTCAGCGCGCAGGTTTCATACAGAGCCAGCATATTATGGGGTAAAATTTGCTGAACAGCTCTCAAGCCGATGAGTAAATTTGGACTTCGTTGAAGTGATCTACTATGAAAACTTAGAGAAGTACCACAGATCGAGAAATGCGATGGCACTAGACGAACGGATTAGTCTCGATCCTTCCACTTTCTTATACAATGTCTCAGTGTTCGGTATACAGTATTAGGAACACAGACAGCTGCGTGTAAGAACGATAGCACCCTTCGCAGACCATGCAAGATACACAAGAGTCAAGAACTCCGCTGCCTCACATATGTCAAGTACTCCGCCGCATCATGAGAGTTGTTGCTAATTGTCAGTTGGCTTCTGAGCGGTGAGCGGTGAGTTGTGGACCGTCTGCGATCTCACCCAAATTTTCGTTGTCTAAGCCTGACGCTTCAAAATGAAGAGTCTTCCGCCGGCATGATTCACGATGCGGTGTACTTTATTGACAAGGAGGGCTGCAGGTCACTCCTCACGACCATAATTGTAATTCGGAAATGCAGCAGCGCAGCTCGAACATGCACAATCCATCCTTTAGCCACATCAGATCTTGCGCTAGGTTGCGCCATATTCAGGAGATAGAGACACAGGGCGAGGAAGGATTCGTGTACCACAAAGGCGATTTTTTGCCTCCATCATGATCAGGTGAAGAATGCACGGAGAGGCCAGGATGGAGATTGCTTGCAACCTTCTCGATGTGCAGAAGTCCAGTCCCCAGATGGTGCAGAACTTGGTGGCCTCGCTGGGTGAGAGTGCAGGTGTTGATGTCGGTCAGGGGTACTTGACAGGGCAATCAGACGAGGAAATCTTCGAACTGGCCTTGGAGAAGCTGTTTACGTTTCAGTAGCTCTACATTCAGGGAACAGAACTCGATACATGTGCAGAGGTTACTTCATTCACATCGGGCACTCCGTTCGACCACCGAGAGAAACTAATTTCTGCCAGACACTGTCCCACAGCGGATTAAATTGAGATGTGAGGTTTCATGTGTACTTAGAGACGCATTTTTCTGTATTGGCCTTCTTTCTATCAGCAAACCAGCAAACCAGGTGAAGAATTATCCACACTTAGCAGTACGGGATATCCACCGCCTGTGGAGATCTTTGCAGTTCGACTAAAGAAGGAGATTTGTTTCACAAATACTGTCATCCTAACTACACCTGGAGGAAGAGAAAAGAAGAAACCGAGAAGTATTGTAAAGTGAGCCGTATTGTAGATGTCTGGAGGAAGAGAAAAGAAGGTGATCAGATGAGAAACATGGGGGTGTACTACACCTGGAGGAAGAGAAAAGAAGGTGAGAAAAGAAGAAACTGAGAAACATGGGGGTGTACTACACCTGGAGGAAGAGAAAAGAAGGTGAGAAAAGAAGAAACTGAGAAACATGGGGGTGTACTACACCTGGAGGAAGAGAAAAGAAGGTGAGAAAAGAAGAAACTGAGAAACATGGGGGTGTACTACACCTGGAGGAAGAGAAAAGAAGAAACTGAGAAACATGGGGGTGTACTACACCTGGAGGAAGAGAAAAGAAGGTGAGAAAAGAAGAAACTGAGAAACATGGGGGTGTACTACACCTGGAGGAAGAGAAAAGAAGAAACTGAGAAACATGGGGGTGTACTACACCTGGAGGAAGAGAAAAGAAGAAACTGAGAAACATGGGGGTGTACTACACCTGGAGGAAGAGAAAAGAAGAAACCGAGAACTCTGAAAGTTTGGAAGATGCGAGCAGTATTGCACTCAGAGAGCTGCACGCAGCAGCTCTCTCTGAGTGCAGCATGGAGAAATATGGGCCACGCGAGGAAACATTTATCGGAATTATCGCGTTTGCACTTCTCCAAGTTTGTATTGTCTCCCTTTCTAGAGCATAAATCAACGACCGTTGGAATGATTTTGATAGGTGTAGCATGTCAAAATACCCGTGACTATATGGAGAAGACGGCGTAAGTTGCCTTTCTGGGGATTGGTTGCGTGGGGGATACTTCGACACATGCAAAATTTCACTACGAGAATTGGTGCAGAGCTACGGTCTATACGCCGAGGATGATTCTATGTCCGGCTGGTTCCACGGAGGGTTGCATAAGCTTCTTCTGAATGAGCTTCCTCCGATGAAGCAGATTCTCGACTACTGCCAGGAACTGGTTGGGATTACGACTTGCAGAAGGGTTTTCGAGTGGTTTTCACTGGCCATGGCGTGGGTGGAGCAATATCTCACATGGCGTTGCTCAGCAGGCTTCTCTGTCTTCCTAATCAAAGCCTACTGCAGTGGCCGACGAACAATTTCGTTTCAATAGCCTTTGAGGCTCCGTCTATTTGTAACTCTAAAGCTGGGGAGTATCTGAGACACATTTTACCTGCGGAGGATCTGTTTGTGAACCACGTCACCGACGGAGATGCTGTTTGTGTTCTTCTCAATAATCTCGAAGAACTGAGGAGAGAGGCAAAATTGTCAGCATCCCATCAGGTATTTCTGACTTGACTTTCACGCGATGACACTACAGTTTTGTAATCGAGGCTTCTGTTCCAACGACCGAGACAAATCATTCCTCCGCTATATGCTTGACAAAGTCTCCCCGATGGTTCTCAGCATCTAATGTTTCTGGTTCACTCAGCAATTTTCAACCGACGCGTGATACTTATCTAACTGTTGTATATAAATGTAATTTCTGAAGCTGATGGCCAAGATACAAAGAGTGTCAAGTCTGCTGTCTCCAATGGCTGTGGAGCTTGAACCCTCGATCTTGGAAGAACTCACGGAGATCATGGTGGAGATCGGCTCATGTTTTCCCAAAACAATCCTCTCCATGGAAGCAATACAGCTGCAGGGGGGACGTCCAGAGCACCACTATTGCCCGTTTGGCAAATACTGGCGTCTTACAAAGGCAGCGGATGGCTCTCCCTGTCTGCCACAAGCTATCCATCACTCGAACATCTCCCAAAGTGCCGTGTCCCTACGGCCAGAAAGTTTCGAGGTAAACAAATAAACCTGTTAAGTGTATCCTGCTTTAAGATTGTTTAAGATCGTCTCTGGTCCATATGAGCTCATTATCGTAATACTTCACAGGCGCACAGCATGACGACAGCTACCTGTCAGCAGTTCTCGGTCAAGGTCACGCTCTTAATTACCCACCAAGCTATCCAGGATCAGGAGTGGAGATCGGAATGCCTCCACGAGTAATTTCAGCTCTTCTGGAGATGGTTCAAGGGGAAGATGATAATGCCTGTGCCCGATCGTCACACTCCAAGTTTGCTCGTATAACGTTCAAGGGAAAGAATTTGGGTCTGCTTTTAAGCAAGAAGTGCGAATTTCCCTTGTTGAGACAGCTCTGGAAAGTTGTTTTGTCAGATTGTGACGCCGAGATTGTGACGTTTCAGACTACAATGCCAATCCAACCAAAGTTGCTCGAAGAGCTGACAATAAAGAACACGCATCTCAATACCTTCGTGCAAATCCAACCAAAGTTGCTCGAAGAGCTGACAATAAAGAACACTCATCTCAATACCTTCGTGCAAATTACGACAGCTTACGGATCCACAGGTGACTCGGTCCCTATATTTATCAAGGTGACTCGGTCCCTATATTTCTCAAGTGGAGGGATATGGCGAGTGACAGCAGAGCAATCTGCACACTGATCGCAGGTATTGCCAAGTTATCGATTTTGGGCGAAGCATTGAGGAAGATGTCACTGACCAAACCGTCGAATGCTGAATGTATGGTTGATCGACATCTTCCTCAATGCTCTGCTGTCACTCGCCATATCACTCCACTTGAAAAATATAGGGACCGAGTCACCTGTGGATCCGTAACCAGTCGTAATATGCACGAAGGTCTTGAGATGTGTATTCTTTATTGTCAGCTCTTCAAGCAACTTTGGTTGGACATGAACCAGTTGATGAAACTGACCAAACTCGTTCATGTCACTCACCAAACCTGTCCGAGCCTAGACAATCGTGGCAGTTATGGGAGTAGGGAACTGTGGGAAGTAGACACTGGTCAACTTGCTTACCAGCTGTACCAAGAAGGCTGAAACCCGAGCCCAGACAATCGTGGCAGTTATGGGAGTAGGGAACTGTGGGAAGTAGACACTGGTCAACTTGCTTACCAGCTGTACCAAGAAGGCTGAAACTGATCCACACTTCTGAGGCTGGAGTTTACACCATGAAAGATGCAGATGCTCTCTATGTCGACTTTCCAGGATCATACCCTGCCACGAGTCGGGCAACTGCCGACGCCATGTGGGAAAAGTTTGGAAGATATGCGGGTGTGTATATCATGATGGTCAATTTCACGGGAGATTTTGCATCTGCAGAGTGTTGTTTCCCCACTCAAACATGGTATGAGACATTGGGTAAGGAAGCAACTTTCCTGTTGCTGGTAAACCAAGTGGATGCAGTTCTGAAAGGAGACCCAGCGGCAGATAATGGAGCGTGGAAAGAAATCAGCTGCCAGAGTTTGAGGCGATTGAGAGAAAAATACGTTGGTGATACAGCTAGGAGCCTAGGAGGAAGCTCGAACCCGAGGTTGCTGCGACGGAAGTTTAAGGCTGTGTACTTGACAGTAACAGCCAAGGGTAGTATCTCTACAGCGGAGCTGCAAGAGTTGCGGTGGAGAGGAGTCCTCGTAGAAGAAGAAATTGTCCAGAAACTTCGAACATTTATAGATGGAGTTAGCTCTAATCAAAGCCAAAGCCAAGGCCACTGTGGAGAGGCCTCGAGCTCCCACGGACGACAAACTTAGAAATTCTTCATCAGACTGATAGCTCCCTAGAAAGCATCTCTCACCTAATGTGGAAGACGCCGATGTACATAAGTCACTCAGGACTGTAGAGATCAGGACATGAATTGTGAGAAATTCTAGACTGAGTCATGATATAATGTTGAGGACCCGGGTCTAAGGTTTCCATTGAAATTTTGTATATACGAGTAGAGAAACCTGCACCCCAAAATCTCACGTGCCTAAGCCGACGATATACTTTTGCTACTCAGATTGGAGTTTACAGAAAGTGAACGTAGCCATTAGAAACCTAGGCAAGCGAGGTCAGAGGTCTCAAGGCGTCAAGGCACACCGATTCATGTGCAGCCTCGGCAACACCACGTAACTGGCATCGGCACAAACTATCATGAACGAACGATGCTTATTCCCGACGTCAGCTAGAGGAACACATATCGAGACAAAGATATGAGCGCAGACAGGCTGACAGGATATGGTGGCTTTGCGCCTAGAGGCCACCACCAAAATTGGCTCTAGACCTCATCCCAAGCTTTAGGTTTAGCACTTCTTCTGATGAGGGTAGAGAGAAGCTAAACCAGACATACGTCGGGCTTCGAGGGAATTGTAGGCAAGTGTTTTGCAGAGAAACATCGGCGAAGACTCCCTCCCTGCTGATAATCTCGGGAGCTGACCCGACCGTCTGGTTAATGGCGCTCGTGGCCTGGTTATTGCAACGTGTGCTCCGAGTGGCATGCGCCTGAAAGAGCTCCCATGGGCGATGCACACCTGCGAATGCCCCCAATAACGAGTCATTTGAACAGATAATACATTAACCCAAAAGCTTGGAGGTTTTGTATACAATCTGAGACCACCGATACAAAATAAAGGTTTTATTTGCGTGTGAAATTACTAAAAGTAGAGAATATCATGTAATCGAGTACCTGGGTGGTGTAGTACTCATCGTTTTATTCATCAGAGTTGGTTTTACATGGCTTGATGGAGTCTTCTCGTCTCATCTTTGGTCTATCAAGTTGGCCCTTTTTTTTCCGAATACAGTGATAGGAGTTAGACTTTTGGCTAGATCAACCCCGACCGTATTCTATCCGGGCTGACGGCAAACGTACACCTTTCTTGTGTCGCCTTTTACGCCCAAACGAAACGCCCGGTAGGCCTTTTCGTCTAGCATTCTTGTGTAGCAATCTCGGATTGGCGATGGCGGTATGATTGTATGATCAAAGTACATATGGACGGATGCAATAAGATTATGCCGAAGATGGAGGAAAGGGAGACATTAGAAAACAAACCTGTGCAGCTCCCAGCCATAGAGATGGTATATTCGGAGACAGTACCTAAATCAAGCAAAATAGTTGCGAATATATAAAACAGGACAAGCACAAATCTGACTTTATAGTTCAAGATGTTGTAGGGTGGGGGAAAAAGATGCCCACTCAACTTTTTTTTCTCTACTAAGATCCGCAAGTATCAAGAATTGCAAGGTAGACTTATATTCATTCCACTAGCATCGGAGATGCTTTGAGAGTATGGACCACATGGACAAGTTTGTTAGACTGAATGCTAGGCTTTATCATGATAAATACAATATGACAATTGACAATGCTAAATGTCAGATTAAATCTGTGATTTGTAACAGCTGTAAGGCATGGTAGTCCATCATGCTTTAGCCTCTATTATTGGAGAAAAAAAATATTCTGCTGACTGGTGATGCTTGTTCTAGAAACCCTGTTATCACCCCCAGTGACGATTTGCATGTATGTAAGAGACATCTGAGTCCTGGTTCGAAACATAGTGATTAGCCCTCTCCTTTTCTTTCAGATCCTGCTTTCGCTGTTGCCTTGTACACGAGTGGAGTGGAACTGTTTTCATCGCCAACTTTATTTCATGCTTCTCCCGTTTTTCTCTGACAACACCTGAGAGTTGATATGTGATTGCAACAGCTGCAGGACTTATGATATAGCTACTCTGATCCGTCCCCAGAGTACAACAAAGAAATGATTTTTAAAGAGTAGTGCGGCAGATCTCAAGAACGATGGAACACTTGAATTTAGGGATATGATGGAAGTTGCAGCTTGTAACTTCCACACATAGCTAAAATTTTGCCCGAATTTGACCTGAATTCAGGGGTTTCCAGCGTGTTTTCTCCTCGCAATGACGAATTGACAAAACTTGGACTTCAGTCAGAGACATTCAGATATTACACTTCACAACTCTCGTGAATTTAACCTCAGACAACATTCTGAGTTAGAAGCCACTGTTGGAACAGATTCTTCTTCACCAAAGTGGTCGATTCTAATATGCATGCCTTACACTGTCCTAGATATTCTAACTGAGCTCAATTTTATTGCCAAAGTTTCTAGATCTTCTTTCGGATATAATGTTTCCATCATGTTCTGTAACATCACACCGATCTACCTACAGAACTATTCTGCTGTAATAAATGAAAGTCAAGAGGTTATTTCGGATTACCTCATTTCCACGAGACGATAAGATTTAAATATAAGTGCAAGATACGCATCGCATTATCTGGCTGTGAAGACCGACCATGTGGCTGCTGGCTCTGCTGATATTCATGTATATTCTACGGAGTGAGTTACAAATTTTCGAGTCAACTTCCGAACATCTTGCGTGACACGCGTGGCTGCAGATACAAATAACCACGAACATGCTGAGGACTACAACCTATCACTGCACAACTGTTGAGTCATATCTTTATGTCCACATCCATGGGCCACGACATCTGCAGTGTCGAAGTAACTGATATGGTTGCATGTTCACTAGTGTTTTTTTTTAACTCACGAATGCAAACCCTGGTATTGGAGTCACGTATACACTTGAACACATACCAACGTTTTGAAAGCCTGAGATCCAAGTTCTGTCTGAAGAAAAGGAATAGTATTGATAGGCACTTCGGTTTCAAAAGCTCCACCAAATCCGCAGGCTCGGTTAAATGCAACCAAAAACTATAATGCAACGGCCTTGTTCAACGACTGTACTGCCGAACCTTTTTTTAAGCCAACTAACATCCAGCAGCCAATGTCTAAAAAAACTCTTTCGCAATGTAGGAGGTTAAGAGGTGTATGTGAATAAAGCATACTTCTTGTGTCCATATCCAAAGCTCTTGGCTTGGTTCGATGATTGACAATGTTCAATTATATGGTGCTTGGCATGGGTAAACCAGAAATGTCTAGAAAGCGTCGGCGAAAATACACCCACCCTAAAAATCTCGAGTAAGAACTTACGTCTTCATGCCTGAAAGATATGAGACTTCGTCCACTCGTTGTAAACTCGATTCCAAAACACTAAGAGCCCGACACTAATGCTTTTGGCGCGCTTTGCACCTTAGCTCAGTCCTTACCTAAGATCAGTCTGTCGAAACTAATCTGTGTATGGCTTTATGCAGTCTTCCGCAAAAATTCCATCGATGTGTCTACTTCTTACTTACTAATAAAGAATTGGTACTGGACGTAGTGAACCATGTCTGCACTAGATCATTAAGTGATTCACAGGTAGCGTGCCGCTTAGGGCTCAAAGCGAACCGACCGACCGACACTGAAAACTCCTATGCCGTAGTTCTTGTGACAACACTCATATCCCAAGTGATCCGAGGAGTAACAAGGACTCGGAACTTCCTCAACAGAAAACAACTTTGAGTGATAATATCATGCACAAAGCTAACAGATGACAACCAAAAAACAACAATAAAACTTCACTCTATAAAGAGCACATCTAATTTCGTTGCATCTAGATTAACACCACCAAATAGAAATTTCAGAAAGATCACGATGATTGAGCAGAACTCGAATGATAGTGCAGAACTCGTTAATTTTCTCAAAGGATCCAATTTTCAGTCATATTATCAATGTGAAAAGAATTGTAATTCCCTTTGAACGAAACCCATTGAGGATACGTCCAAAGTAAAAATGATATCTGACGTGCCCATTTCTGTGGCTGACAACACGGTGTAGACCCGTTTCAGAATATAGAATCCGAACAAATCACATATGCCACATGATTTGACGACCAAAATGCTACACTAACCTCTATAATTGAACACATAAGTCAAGATTGGATTCACGAGCTAGTTGCAATACGAAACTAACTTCGGTATCCAAATAAACTATGTCTGAAACAGGGGTAACTATCAATCTGAGAGATGTACAGATTCATTTAGAGTCTGCCATCAAGAACGAGTTGCTTGCTGTAACTAATGCTTTCTATCCGGCTAAAAAGCAAGCCTGCTACTCTTGATGTCTAATCAGCGGGAGTGCACGGTAAAGAGCTTGGACACTAGTGGAATCAGACCTTGAATAATCCAGAAACGTTATGCCCATATTCCTCTTCCTAATGAATCAACACCAGGTACAGACCATAGTCCAAAGAATAGTAAGAAATGTACATGTTGAACAGAGCTAAACATCCTAGGAACAAGCAAAAGTAAGTGCAATAGCACCGTATTGACCCGAAATCATGTTGGCACGGTAAGTGCCTAAGAAATCAACCAGTTTGTTGTAATCCCAAGATTGGTAGTCGAGGCGGCTCGTTTTCTACACAATTGGCCCACATGTTTGCCAGAGGTAGATAGTATTGACGGCCTCCCCATTCCACGCTAGCCATGCCTGAAACCACCATGACAAGGGTCGCTGGCTTCCAGTCAGCAGTCAACTTTGTGGAGGCAGTTCCTTAAGCTAGAGCTACTTTAATGGACATGCAGCTTATTCCCTGTTCAAGAACGTTTGATCTTGGTAAGTGAATGCTGCTAAGAAATAGGTAAAAATTTATTTCCACCGAAACATCAAGGACCCATGGGACCTACAATGGAGATCCTAGTAAAGGAAAATACTCGATATAAGATGAAGCAAAGTGTGTGGCACGGAAAGTTTGTAAGTTTATCTTACCGGAAAGAGTCTTCATAGGGAGTAAAGAGAGTCCACAGACAGGCTGTACTTCTCCTTTAGTATGCTTTAGAGAAGCAATATTGACAGCTATAGACAGGTCCAAAATGCCCTGCCAGGATGTCCTGGTTGAAGGAAGCGATTCATTTGCATCACTAAGAGCCCAGTATACAGCATCTTTTAGACCCGAACCGAGCCAGCAAGTACGACATTCATCTATTAAGCGGTTAACCGCTTTGCCCTTCTCTCCGGCCACTTCCAACCAGGGTGCGTGCAAGCGTACTGTTGCCTCCAGAACGAGGAACACGGAATATACTTGTCCCAATGCAGCAAAGTAATTTCTACCTGCGTACGACAAATCTAATTGTGAGGACACAACAAACAACACGAGGAAGGATGAACACTTCCAGTGAACAGAAAAGTAACAGCATGGAGAGAGGCAAGAAAGCTTTAAGAAAAGCTAAGAAAAACTTGTGCATCACTGAGTCCACCGACAAGTGGACTCAATTAAGCCCAAGTCCTTGAAAGGACGATACCTTGACGATGGGTAAGCAGGTGTGACTGAGACTGCGCCTGAACAGCTCGCTGCCAGAAAATCATTCCCAACTCTAATTCAGATGCACAAGATGATGCAAGTGCAGACCAAGCTTTCACATATAGGAGCTGCTCTTGCACTGTCGCGCTAATCAGTAGCTGAAATGCTTCTAACGCACGGGTATGCTGTTCTGCTGCAGCCCGCAAGTCCTTCTTAGCCTATCCTAGTTATCACCACAGCAACCAACAGAACCACGACACAAGAATCAAACCCCTGCAAGTACTATGTACGGACCATACGACTTACGTTCTTTTCTGACGAGTGCTATGCAGAACCTGAACCAGTATAACAATATTCTCCCTATAATCCTAAGGGAGTTGTATCAAATCTATCTCTAAGTAGAGCTTCAAAGCTTCTGATGCAGGGGCCTCCGATATTTCCCGTCAAGATTAAAACCAGCTGGATGATGGAAAAGAACTAGGAACATAACTGCTGGTGACGAGCATCATGAACTTCTGACTATTTCTATATATAGAGTTCAAACCAAGACCACTCTGAAGCTCTCACACACGAAGGGGGTATGAAATAGACACGGAAGCACATTATAAAAAGCACATGGACTTACAAAAATAAAACCAGTTATAGACTAAACAACTACATCTATAACTAGAACAATTTATGTCCCTGACGTGAAGGAAAAACACTTTGTATATCTGAAGATTAGACAATCAAATTTTGATGCTGTGAAAAGTAACACGGGGGACGAAACCACGAAGATTATGTGTCAAATCAAGAAAGAGCGTACCAAGGAATCAATCTCATCCGACTGAAAGTGGGACCGAAAATACTCTCCTCTTGGATCTGAAGTTCCTCCAAGAAGACTCATCATATCCTCATGGGTCAACTTGGGTACCATGAGTGTGCTCCCATGCTTGAGGCCATTCTCATGTCTTTGACGCTTCTGCCATCTGTGCCATTCCTGAGGCTTAACAAGCTTGGCATGCGCTGCCTGCACAGTTTCCAGCACCACTCGGTCAATAATCTTAAATTTGGCTTTAATAGAACTTTCGACCTAAGATTACGCTTACTAATAATAGCTTATGTAGTCACAGACAAACTCTTGCAAGAATTCTCAAGTGCCCAAAACTGTTATGAAGTTTCCATCACGACCAACCACTCCCGTATGATTTCGGCAAAGAGGCCAAGGTTCACTTCCTTCTCGAGGTTACTTAAGGTGAGAAATTCTACTGAGGAAATTAGAGTTCAATAACACGGCATCGTATGACAAAATAAAGAACAAAAGGGCTGGTATCCTTTAACTGGAAAAACTCCAATCCTGAGCACTTTCGTCCAACTTATGAATACACGCATCATAACAATATGGACTTCAAACTTCAGTTCCTAGACAGTCTTCACGAGAGAAGTATAAATCAGCGTACCTGAAAATCATTACACTAGATGTAATAGCCTAAAGTCAAAATATGCAGAGCCTAGAAGGGTCGTCCGGGAGGGTAATCCGAATGTATTCAACATAAACTCCGCGGCTGACTCCTCTTCTCTGTGTTTAGAAATTATGGTTATGGTTGCTTTCTCTCTCTGGTAAAACGAAGCATTTCACTACAGGAATATGAACCTAAAAATCACTGTTATGGGAAACACCTCGATTTTCGTCGTAATGACAGATGCTTTTTCCTTATCGCCGGACTCAAGGGCTCTTGAACAATCCTCCTGTAATGAGTAGCAAACAAGTACAAAGCACAAAGTTTAGAATCAGACCACAGAAAGTGAAAGAAAATATTCTAAAAATGAGAATCTACCGTTGACCAAAATATACCTGCAAGGCTTGGAACTCCAACAGAGCTGCTGTATGCTTTGTACATGCGAGAGCCTCTTGAACCCTTCCCTCCTCCAAAAGCCACAGAGTCAGCTTGTGCAAATCATCCGCGCTGGCCAAAAAAAATTCGTCGGCATCGACGTCATCTTCCTGAGAATCGCTGCTGGAAGACACACCACCTGGAAACTCATCACCACTGACGGCATCAAGGTGCCTCCCCATACCCACAAAGTCGCTCAATGAAGATCCCAAGGAAAGCTCAGCCGCTGCAACGGCAGCATCCTCCTCCTCACCGAAAAGTGATAGCGATAGCGGAGCTGCACTATGCTCGACATAGCTTTTGCCTCGAGTGTGCTTCTTCACGACGACTGGACTTGCGTACAGAGCGTCCAAATCTACCGAGCGAGAGCGTCTGCTATCCGGCCCCAAACTGGTTCCGTTCTCATCAGGTTTCGCAGAACCTGTTGTTGGGAAAAACTGAGAGACTTGGGCTTCGTAGAAACTAAATGCATCCACTTTCACAGGAGCTGCTGGGGCGGATGCTTGAGAGGTCGTCTCTGCTTGCGAGGCTACCGTGCTCTCCCCGTTGTTGGAATTGCTCTTTGCTGTTCCTGAGTCTACAAGGTCCGTCTCCCACGCATCAATGAAATCTGGAAAATGCGTTTGCTCCTGCGGTTGGGATCTATTTCCTGGCAAACTTAAGTCCCCAAAGTCTCCGTTGCGTGAGTCTTTGACACCCAACGTGAACAAATCATTCGAGGTAGTCTCAGTTGTTTCGGGTTTTGGCACAACGGAAACTGGGGGCGGGGGAGCAACAAAATCACCCCAATCATCGTCAGATTCTCCTCCTGTTTCCTGGACATGAGCCTGTGCTTTCGGACTGAAGAAAATTACATCAGGGGAATCGGATTTGTCCGCAGAACAGTCCAACTGAAGAGCACCCAAGGGATCAAACACAAGATGATCGAAACAATTTGATACATTGTTCTTAGGTTTCATCTCCGAACTTTTGTCCGGGAATTCGTTGGCGAAACTCCATGAAGGCTGTGTAGTCACTAGAGAAGGTGCTTCGAAGTCTCCGAATAAATCCTCGAACCCATTCATTGGCCCCCTTTTCGGTACATCGAAGAAGGTGTCTGACCCGAAGTCGTCAAACAAACTGACCGACGATTTTGGTGCTGCCGACGGTTCGATCTGGACAGTTCTCAGAGCACCGAAACCTTCGAATCCATCGACAGACTTGGCTGTTGCTGTAGATTGTTCAACATGATGCGTTCCATTGACAGAAAGAGATGAGAAGTCATCGAACAAATTGTGAGTTTCCTGGGCGGGGTTCTTTGTGACAATCTTGGTCGGTTGTGAGATCGAAGACGACTCAAAGTTTGCAAAAAGGTTGAAAACAGGTCCATTGCTATGCCTACCTTCAGATTTTGGCATGCCAGAACCAACCTCAAAATTCCCGAACAGGTCCTCCTCAACGACAAGTCTGCTTCTTGAAAGAGTTGTTGCAGGTGCACTTGCAGGAGAGAAAGCAGGAGCCACCGCCCCAAAATCTGTTTCAAACTCGCTGATCACTTCAACAGGCTTGCCATTACCCTGCGCTCCGTGTGGAAGATGCAAATTAGGCTGCCCAAGGTTGAGCGCCGGCAAGTCGCTGGCAACGCTTGTCGAATCTGTCACAACTGTACTAGTGCCTGCAGGTACAGATTCGAAGTCTCCAAACTCGCTCTCAAAATCCCCAAACTCGTCATCGTCGTCCCCATTGACGATATCTGCCGGTGATGTGGAGCTTGTCGTGCTGATGACAGTGGTGACGGTGGCGGGAGAGGAAGTAGGTTTACTAGGGGCAGATGCCGAATGCTCATCCAAAGAAGCAATACTCTCATCTTCCAGCTCTCCGAAAAGAGAAAGCGGAAGAGGTGCTAGAAATCTTTTCGGGGCATACTGAATTTGTTGCACGGGAGGAGCTCGTTCTAAAGCGGACGCCATCGCTGATCTTTCCATCAAAAGTCCGCAAGTTCACTCTCCAGGACCCCAAACCTGCGTGCATCCAAAGCCCGCGAACCCCATCATCCGCCGAAGAGTTCTTGAGTCTCCACGAAACAGGGGTCACCGGAGTTCAATGTCTGGTCGGGTCAATCACTGCCACCAATTCCTTTTCGCTCCACCCTACAAGATGCTGACGGATCCCAGGGCTCGACTCTATCGTTATACCCTTAGACGGCATTCGTTCGAAGCCGAGATGATGAGTCTGAGCCGAGCTTCGATCCGGAATCGAATCCCTGCCACAAACCAAAGAAAGTAAGCCCAGGCGCTGCCCTTCTTATGCTGCTCTCGCTCCTCCTGCTCGCATCTCCTCGCGCCCGTGCACTGTGCAATGTGACATCTCAATCGCCCACAATCAGAACAGCACAGCACAGCACAGCACAGACAACCGAAACGAGAGAAAGTCGTCCAGCCTTTGTCCCCGATCCGTGACTCACTCCTGCAGCTTTTCAGCTGGTGGGTCCTCCCCTCCTCCTAATTTTGTTCCTCTAGTTTGGCGTGGATTGTACCACCCTCTCATCCCTCCCCACCCCACCAGCTCACGTCCTCGCGACCCAAAACCCACCGAATGTCCGGCCGAACATCAAACTCCTTCGTGGGCTCGACCGCGGGCGGACAGTCCTCATTCATTCGCACCAGCTCAGGTCGCGGCGATCAGCCGAAAAGCCCCGAAAGAAAGAGAAAGGAAAGAGTGCAATCCATCCGTCCGTCCATCCGAGGATCGATGAAGGCGACTCGCGGTGGGTCCTGCCGTCGTCTTGCTGTTGCCATACAACTGTCGCCTTCCGGGCGCGCCTTTGACTCGTCCCTCGGACGGGACTCGCTAGCGGGAGGCAGCCTTGAATGCCGCGACGACGATCACTTTCTCAGCTTGTGGCTGAACCGGAACGCAGTACATTCTGTTTGTATGTCGATCCATGGGCCGGTCACCGATCCCCTCGATCGAAAGCGGAATAGGAACACGCGTCCCGACGCCGGACGGACGATCGCGCGAGTCGGGGACGCGCAGGCAGGGCACAACAGCAGCTCCAGCACCTTCAATCGCAGCGTTCGTGCCCTCGCCTCTCGCTGGCGTCGCTGCGACAGCAGCCGCGCCTGCATGTACGATCCGGGTGGCCGATGCGGAAGGTGCCCTACGCTTACGGAAGATGGATGACATGATTAGCAAACAACGCGGACGCTGGCTCGCTCCGTGGGCGGAGACAGTGGCAGTGAGTGGATGATTGCAGGTCACTGGCCTCTGAGGAAGGAGATCGAAGATCTGCAGGAAGTTCGCCGAGGCTTCAAAGGCGGGTGATTGGATATAGGATATGGCGCTGCGAGTGCCAGTGTCAGGAGCAGGAACAGCGGCAGGGAGAGGAGCGGGGATGTTGCTCTCACGACAGGGCCTGGTGCTGTGCTCGACAGGGCACGTACAACGGGGAGACTGGGGCCAAGGGGCCTACCGTAGCCAGGCTACTCTCAGCAGCACCAGCAGCAGGAGGATTGTGCTCTTGAGCTTGGGCTTGGGCTTGCCTTTGGCGCATCTGGCGCACGCTCTGGTCGTCCGTGGTGGTGATGCCAAGGCAGTCTCTTGTGCGCACAGTGACTCTCCTGAAGCCATGACTTGTGAATTCATCAGCATCATCTATCGCGTGATTTGATTTTATAACTCCATGTGGGTTGAGAATTTATGATCTGACAATCTCTCGCTTGATTTCGAAAGTTTGCCGTAAATCTTGTGGATTTCGCAGCTGTCTGTGTGCAATTCCGTCCTAGTCAGCTGGCTGTCATCAGCTTTCTGTCTATGATGCTCGCTGTTCTACCCCATGGGTTAAGAATTTTATCTCTTCCAATAGCTTCAAGATACTGTTCCATCTCTTTAGCTGACAGGAGTCGGTTTGAATAATTCTCAGACATCTGATCGTGGTCAGTTGAGTCTGTGACTCTCATGTCGCTCATGATCTACTGGTTTCCCTTGTGTTTGAGCTGAAATTTGACTGTCAAGCTATTTGTTCCATTCAGTGGCAGAAGCGAAACCCTTGGCGTCAGGAGGCGTCGAAGCCGAGTCTGCCGTTGAGGTTTTTGGATTTGATGGACTTGGAAAAGCTTCCGAGGAGTATGTTCCTGGCAAAATTGTTGCCCTTGCGCAAGCTGGAGATGGAGCAGTACTATTCCTCGGGTAGATACATTTGCTTTCTTGCTCTTCTCACTTTTGCCATCGAGAGTCCCATCTGGAAATCCAACTTGGTCTGGCACACAATTCGGTTGTTCACTTCGAACTATTCTAGACACTGATATGATACTTAAATGGAATACCTAGTGTGAGATTTAAGGTGAACGACGAAGAACTCGGGGGATTGAGTATGACACGAGAGTTGATACTGATTTATACGTCTTTTGCTTGGGATGAGCCCATTCACTTTCAACCTTTTGGCTGCCTTTAGATTCGTTACCAATTGTCCTTGCTCGGACACCTCTGAATGTCTTTTCTCGGTACACAAAGATGAATACCTGGACGTGAACATCAACCATCCAGGATTGCGGATTCGCAAGAAAAAATTCTGGTTAGTTGATGTTCAAGTCTATGAATTCGTTTTGCGTAGTATCCATGTGTAGCGCGATGACGAGACTTTCTGGATGGAACCACCACGGTGTGAGATTCTTGGGTGCACTGAGCTGGCTTCCTCACCACTAGAAAATTTTGGGTGAGTTCAGGGTGGATGGATTTGAGCTGCCATTGCAGCTCGTCGTGGGGCCAGCCGAAGCCATGGCCGTGTTAACTGCAGTACAAGAGAGGAAGACTCGGAGACCAGTGACACACGAAGCTTGGGGTTTATCTCTTGCTGCTGTAGGATGGAAGGTGAGGACTTTCGAACAAAAAGATTTCTAGCTTGACCAAGATTTCTAGCTTGTCTCTCATGCCGGTATGATGTCTCCAAGTCTCCCCTTTTTGGAGCAAGTCACAACCTATGTATTTATGAGTGTGTGTCGAACTCAGTCGAGGGCGTTTAATAACTAGAAATTTGCTGGTGTATTCAGGTTGACAGAGTTGCCATCACTTCAAATGAAAACGATGTGTTCTACAGTCGGGTCATCCTCTCGAACCCAGCTGAAACCAGGAAGAGCATTGATGTTAGGCCTTCAGATGGAATCGCTCTCGCGCTTAGATGCCGGGCTCCTCTTTATGTTCTCAGGAAAGTTGCACAAGACATCCTGGTTGCTCCAAATCCTGAACAGGCAGAGAAGAAAAAACCGGACCCACTAAAACGTCCAAGCTTGCAAGCTAGCAACAAATCATCGTACATCGACAACTCGCTTGCACTTACCACTGCGGAGAATTTGTCTGATCCTCTGTTGTTCATGGACGAAGAGGTATCGGAACTTTTGGGTACCAGCGTGAAGGTTTTCATATGAAGACGGAAAAGCCAATGTATCTGTCAGAGAAGGGACTGTTTTGACCTGAAGTTGTTAACTTGCATTTGTACATACCTGTATCATAGTACATAAATCAGAAGAAGAATATAGAGGGAGTCTTGAACCAACTCAGAGTAGCAAAGCTTTTCGAATGGTTTTGAGTCATTAAGATTATGCTGCAGATACTTGTGTTCAACCTAAAACGTAGCCTTTCTGTCCTCCACATGACACAGATAACGAACGTCGTTATAACAATCAATTATCACAATTTTCAACACAATAATTTCGCTGTGAAATTAGCTCATTGAACAGTTTTTGTCGCACAAGAACGGAGTGATTTTATCTCGCGTCTCCATCGTATCTGTTACTAGACTTGCGTAGACCATTTCTTATCGCATATCAATACATATCTACCCATTGAAGAGGGAGCTTCAGTGGTTCCTAGCAACACTGTCAGACAGAGAGGAGTTGTTGTAACGATTCTAGAGGTTTTAGATATGAATGCTCGGTGATATTATTTCTCATTAAGGGTTGCACACTTATGCAGTGGAACTCTCAGTCGAACCTTCATATCAGATACTTTACTCCAAGGAAAGGTTGAAACGTGCAATGATGACTACAAATACCTGTATGCAAGACTATCCTGAATAGACTACACTGAGACGCAAACATAGGAGTGGTCATCGTTCATTGTTAAATTGAGATGTTTTGCCGATTGATTGAAAAGATGTTGAACGGATTGTCCTTTATCCTTCAACAACGTAAGTAAGCTTGTTCATCTACCACAAGCATCTCCAGAAATGAGCATTACAGTCAACTGTCCCAACTAGATAGCCATAGAAAATTACCCGATGCACCCTACCGTCAGCGATGTTTCAATACTATCTCGGGGTTATTTCGGGTGGGAACCTCTCGGCCTTTTTTTCTTCGATGCAGTTATGGCAAGACTATCTCGGGGTTAATCGGGTAGGAACCTCTTTTCCTTTTTTTCTTCGATGCAGTTATGGCAAGACCCTATATCAAAGTGACCGTAGCTTTCTGAGAATAGTTTGATTGAGCCGCCAAATTACTCTCGCGGGAGACAGTATTTTGGCCCTTTAGTGGCAGACACTCTCAACACTATACCGCAAATTATCAGATTATTAGAATTTTTATAGGAATATGGCTGATGGTGATCTCTATGGCCGTCAAGAGGTACCCCATCGGGTAAAATGAAACCTGCTGGGTACCACCAAGTGATTTGAGTTTCCAGGTCGAATCAAATAATTATCTCAGAATGCCAAGACGAGGAGCTGATGATAGATGATTTGTTAGAAGACTAAGGTTGATCTTTTCATACGAGCAGTGGTTAATGTACTTCAAATATCGACGTATTTTTTGTGTAAATATTTTTTTAGATTTCATCCCATGCTTAGACGTTCCATTACTATTCAGGATTTACAAGTATCTTCTAGTAGAGCTTATAGCGAAAAATATAATGAAAAAAGTGTCGTTCTTTTGTAGCTATTTATTTAATTACTACTAAATTACTTAGAAAAAAGTAGTAAGATGGAACTTTTTATTTACAAGCGTAAATATGTTTATCATTTATTTATAATATACATGACTCAGTTTATACACATAGAAACAAACAATGATAAATTCAAAGTGATCACTTTTGAAAGCTAATATACATAGTTTTATAGGGCATGTGTAGTATTTGCAATAAATACTCACATAACTTGTAGAGAAAAAAAATTCCATAAGTATGTATAAAGTGAAATTTGTAATGTATTTAGACAAGGCTTTGATAAGTTAGTAAGCAATACATGACAATCAAACATATAATTAGAAAATAAATGCAAAAAAATCATGATCAAAAAATCACTCAAATGCATGTATCCAAAAAGTTTCAAGTAAACTATATCTTCATTCATATTCAAGCAGATAAATCGCAATCTTCGATTTTCCATAGTGTTATTTTGAAAAGACTTTATATGTAGTATATTTGATTGTTCTAATATTTTACTCAATAATTTAAGATGAATATTCATTCCGTGAGTTTTCAAACTTACAATAGTTGATTTTCAGTAAATTAATAAATATATAAAATAATTTTCAGTCAGAAATTCATAGATTAATTACAATTTAATATTTATGCTCTCGTTAATCATGAATTTCATTGAAAAGATCAATATTATTTTCGATCTATTCCACTTAAGATATAATTTTGAAATTTTATAAATTGAAAATAATAAAAAAATTTTAATTAGCTTCATCAAGAAGATGATCACAAAAAATAATTAACAAATCACATTAAATAAGTTTAAATTGAAGAAAATGCAAACTTATATTATAAATAAACAAGGAATTTGAAAATCATTGATTTATTTTGTAAGATGTCATACATATTACCGAAAGGAAAACTGCCAGTAGATAAAAGTAATATATCCCGATAATGCACATGAATCTTTGACATAAAATACAGTATTTTAGCATATATCATGAAAACGCTGTGCATCACAGAAATATAACAACTCATTAAAAGAAGATGTCAAATATGGTGTTTGTCAAAGAAGAAACATTATAGTAGCAACTCTACTAATTCATCAAAGAAATATACATTGAATCAAAAATTTTCCTTCTTGTTTGTATGGTCTTTCATTTATTGATTATATAGTACAAATTTTCGTAATGTCTATTACAATAATTTCCCCATAAGATTCAAAAGTTTCGACCAATAAATTGGAGTACACGATGTAGTTTATACACTTATTGTGCTCTTATCATGATCACATTCTTCAACTTTAATATTGATTCTTTGATACTTCTCGATCAAAATTTTACATTATCACCAGGTATTACTACAACTTTGCACGTTTACAAGCAATAGCAAAGCAGAAGACGTTGATTAATGTTTCTGCCTTGGTCATGCCCATCTACCTCATTTATTCATATAGATTGTGACAAGATTAATACGATATACAATTCATCATGTTATCAAAACTTCTGATTGGACGATACACGTTTATAGATGTTTATGTGTGCATATAAAGAAAATGACAATTTGTTTTATTTTGAAAAAAAAACTTATGTGAAAATATTAATTAAAAACAAATATCCGCTTACTAATTCCACGTTCCACTGGTGCTAGTTTCAGCAGCCTTACATGGATATAATTTGAAAGTACGAGTACTTCTGCCCATGAACCCGAATTCAAATATAGCGAGATTTAAGTGATCACAACGGTAAAAATAAACGTGTGTAATTTAACCGTGTCCCTGTTGCGTGAAAAATCATGCAAGAACCAAATTTGTTCGGAAAAAACTTCAGTACACACAATAATCAAAAGAAGATGACAGAGCAGTATAAAATTTTGACCAACAGATCTCATACATGCGGCCCTGAATTGATGCACCTCAGACTACACACTTCTCCGTCGAGTCTGACATTGACTGAGATCTTATCCGTAATGATAAAGCACACAACTAAACAGTAACCAAACTAGCTGAGACTCAACAAAACAGTACAAGACAATTTGATCAAAATTACTCCGGTATCGCGAAACTACTTCCACATACATTCCGATATCATCATTACTTCCATGTGCCGATCTATGTAATGATGTCAACATGCAAAGTAGTCGCGGATTACAGGTTCTAACATTCAATTTCGATTTCGTACCATACCATCTCCGTTTCCATAAAAGTATCCAGTAAGACTGTTACCCACAGCTCGACATGAACTGCATACGAGGAAAAGAGCAGATCGAAAATCTTGGATTTTCGATCATCTGCGTAAGTTACAAACAATTGAAACAAAAGAAATTGCACTGCTGTACATGCTGGAAGATTTCCATTTATCTAAAATGTCTATTTCCACAAACTCCAACCATGGCAAATAATGTTCTCAGTGTGACATCTGGCTCGTTCTAGCGGCCTGACAATTGTAGAAAAAACATGACAAAACTCATAAATCTGGACATCAAAAATAAACAATTGCAACTTCTGCATTCGCCCATTACCGAGTTCGAGAGGGGATACCTGTAAACCGAACCAAAAAGAAAACTTATAAATACAAACATAGTGAGATGAATAATATAATTTCGACACCAATCCACATGCAAATTCAAATGATTGTATCGACGTTGGTAACATAAAATGCATTATTCCATGATCGTCCTCTTCATGGAGATCTAAAGAGTGAAAGAGGGATGTACAGTATGTACGTGTAGATACACTGACCTACTTGGTGGTGATGAGTAATAGACAAAACAGAGGAAGTGTCTCACTCGGTCGTATGAGATTCTGATTCGACTCCTAAAAGAAAAAGCTGTACTAGAACCCCTCCTGCCTAACCGAGATTGGTAGAAGCCTGGACGGGACCACTTAGAAAAGAAAAATATAACCTGTAAACTGAGAGGATTCAGACGAGACACATATGTTTGAAAGAAAACTTTGGATGACGTAATTTTGCACATTTCCATGATTGTCCTCCTTGTGGGGGACATTGAATGATTCACAGTGACTCTTATTCTAGTTTTCCTCTCTTCTATAAAACATTGTTGAGGCCATCAGGTACCCTCTTACAGACTTCAATCCAAAGGCCCCATCACTTGGTCCATGAGATCATAGAATCATATAACAAATTCACTTATCTAATCAAGAGGCATCTGACATGCGATCGCGCATAAGCGCTTGTGTATCACCATTGGGTGTTCTAAGAAGGAGCTGCTGGTCCTGGTCACTCTCGCTTTCTACACCACCTTTGCTGCTCGGGCTATCATGTGCATTATCTGCAAGGGATGTAAGTGAGCGTTTGAGTTCTTGCTCCGAACCTTCATAGCCGTCAGAGGCGCTACCAGCAACTGGGACTTGCAGACTTTCTGGTAGCAGACAATTGCAGAACAAGCCTATCCCGGCCAACCGATTCACCCAACCAGGAATCTCTTTTCCTGTTAGGCGATAGCAAACATCATTTGTAAAATGATTGCAATTTTTCACAATAAGATGATAAGTGTTCCCACTGTATTCAGCAGAAATATTTTCTATGAAGTTCCTAAAGTCTTGAGGAGACATATCAGTGGATCCCAACACTATGCTTCGCCTAAAGGTGAAACCAGGGCAGTTGCGCGGCTCTACCTCGAATACTCCACTGGAGGGGTAATCATGAGCACCAAAAGCATACTCCCATCCATGAGCTTCGATGCCCGAGTGGAAAATGCCAAGTCCAACCCAGTACACATACCCGTTCATCGGAGTAAGGTCGTACACATTCAAGTATATCGGCACCCGATTGCTGGCACTGGTACCATCAGACCCTGAAGTTGGCACATTCGACAGCATCTTCGCAGACAGACCAATTCCCCAGTCTACACGCGTGTCGTGCCTTAAAAAGCACTCGTAGGCCGAATGCTGCTCCGATATCGACTTGTCCTATTTCCGTAGAGAATCCCCGGAACATGGACTACACTAAGGGCACTGGCAAGAGGAAAACAAAACTCACCGAGCGAAGATAAGACAATCCACGCCAGGAATCCCAACTCTGTTTTGCCCGGGCCATAGTACTACTCCAAAACACAGATTTCGTTTGACATTCCTTCCGTCTACCAAATCAGCTCACCAGATCACTCTCTAAAACGAAATAAATAACGATGACATGACACGGGCTGATGCCAAGGGTCCGGCAATCATTGCTTAGAAGAGGCACTGATGATCATATCCACCGCTTGTTGGCTGGATGGCTGCTTGATTGCTTGACTGATAGCAGAGTTTAAAAACCCTAAAGATGCAGCCCGAGCGAACGTCCTCCAGGCTGATCTCCTCCTTCGCGCTTCGTCCCCAGCATTCCTTGGCTCCAGAGGTACTCTCTTCAACACATTAACGTGAAATGTACAATAAAAAAACTACAACCCACTGGCTGCGATCGTAGCGCCTCCACAACGGAACCACACACAAAGGCACACACACAACGGCCCTCGATCCGCGTCTCGGTCCTCTTCCTAGGATCTCCCTACCACTCCACCTCCTCGTTCCAGTATACCAGCTTCCCCTACGGACTCTCAGTCAGTCACTCGGATCTAAACGCTCTCCGTATTGTTTCTGCTAAGCCTGCCCGAAAAAATGGCACCCCTCGATCCCTGTCAGCCGAAGCCCAACACCACCGCACTCCCCTTGGCCCTGGCTGAGCTCCTCCCCACTTATGGCGACGAGGAGAAACGAGAAATGAGCCTGGCGAGGAATTTGACCGCACAGACGGGTCCCCTCGAATGAGCTGCGTACTCTCGACGGACTGCCTCGTGCTCCGCTTCTTCTTCTTCCTCGTCCTCGTTCTACTCAAAGCTGTAAACGCCAGCACAATCCTGCCTGGACCAACCTACAGCGTAAGCAGAATTGAAGCAATTTGAGCAAAAGCAATTTGACACCACGACGTTCGTGGCTACTGCTGCTGCTGCCGCCACTGTCGATGGAAACTCCACTCACCCACTCTGCGCCTCTACATATTACCGGCTACCGAGCTGCGTGCCTCTACTGACTGATTGCTGGCGTCGCCCGTGCCGGCCGGCTATCCTTCTCCAGCCTGGGCCTCGCGACCGACGGGTGGCATTTCCATTTGGAGCACGTACACACGTCTGCCTACCGCCTCCCTACCCAGTTACCCATCGACGACCCACAGTTGCGCCAGGTACTTCTTATCGCGAAATCTTCCCTCGATTACGCAACGGACTTCGGGCACAGATCCGGCCTCCCCTTTTCGTTTTAACACTTTCCTTACCGCACTTCCTCTCTGCCGGTCATCTGTGTCGGTCATCGGTTGCTAAAAAACACCAATTTCAAATTATTTACAACTTTCGTGACGCTGGGCACATGGAGAAGAGTCGAGAGGCACCCTCCGTACCTCTCGCTCCACATTCTTTATCCTAAATATATTCACCTCAAGAAGCCTATAATATCGTTCCATCCACATGATGTATTTAGAAAACGACGCACATTAAAAAAATATTTTTTCCGCTTGAACCTGCAACCTCAGAAGTTTGACTTGGATCTTCTTAACCACGGTTTGATATTATAATTCTAATTGCGATCGATACACATGAGATATTTTTCATAGCATATTGTGCTTTCCATTTTAATCATTCATCATGTTAAGTTAATGGAATGTACACTGTTATGCTCTTTAACAAATTCTGGTTTTGCAACAAGAGAATTCCATAGCAAAGAGAATAATTAAGATAGTAGATCTCTTGTAACTACTCGAATTGGATTGAAGTGATGTACTTGATCATATCCGTAGGACTCTGGAAAAATATATTATAAAAAAAGGTTTCCAAATATAAAAAATTTAATAGGAAAGTTCCATATAACCTTACAATGATGAAAGTAACAATTAACGGTAACTAGTTGACTAAAGTATAGCAGTCAAGACATATGTCTAGAATCTAGCATATTCAAGATGAGAGTATGTGTAGGCAACCAGAACAAATTGTCACCTAATATGATGAGTGTGATATTTATTTATTTATTTATATATCAAAGACTTGTGTCACACTCACAGAGACATATATTTATAGTCAAAAATTAACTTCACTTTTCATAAAAAATATTCATATCCTTACAATATTATATGATAATCATTTGTCAATGGTAAAATTTTCATCATAGCTCAATATAATTTTAATGATTTTAAATAAAAGGGTTATCTTTTGCATAAATTTATACTTGAAGACATGTTTTGTAATCAAAAATATATAGTTAAATTTTCTCGAAAGTCGAATCATATGCAAGATCAATAGTCAGCTAAATTAAGAACAAATTGTAGATTTGTTGAAATTTATTCAGTTGAATAGAGACTTTCAGATGATCATCATAAAGGAAATTAAATAAATACTTGATTTAATTTATCAATCCTCGTGAAATAAAGAGTAGGTTGTGATTTTTGCATTGTTGATTTGTCACCAAATTATCAAATAAGATGATTTTATGATTCAACCTCAATTTTTGATATAAAAGATTGATCAAGATTACAATAATCAAAATTTGATATCTATGGAAAAAATATATGAGTTTGAACTGGCCATGAAATTGATGAGAAGATAATAAAAGATTTGATCTTATGATACATAAAGTTTGTCTGAAACTATTAGTTTATGAGATCATATTCAAAAAAAACTATTGTCATCTTTACACTTTAAATTTAAAATAAAAATTAGTTGAGATGAAAACAGATTTGACATGAAATTTACTATAAAATACTCTATTTAGCAATTATAATTGTCATATGTAAAAGTCAAATGTGTTAGTTAAGAGCAAAAATTCAACAAACTATGTACTTGTTAGATATATGTGTCATGTTATCAATTCATGAGTACTAATTTGGATGATGTGATTTTTAACCTAGCTTTTATATTATTTGAAATAATTTGAAATAAAAATAAAATTTTTTTCAATCCTTTTACTTTTTATAAATTATATATAGGTTGATATTTTTACTTTTTTTCAATGTTATAATAAAGTGAATTTGAAGATGATCAACAACAAAAGATTCAAATCATGTTGTGATTATTTTTTTAATCTATATTTTAAATTTTTGATTGATATGAATAAATTTAACTGGCCAAACACTTTGATAATAATTTTATGTGACAATTTGTACATTGTTCCAATCTCATATTGTTATCAATTATATTATCATTTGAACTTTGAAAGTTGGCAACGTAAATTTAATTTTTGTATTGATGTTAGTTTACGCGATTATTTCTGTTATTTCTGTTATGGAAACCAGCGTTGCCAATAGTTGTATTTTTCAACATTTGAATTTAATTTTATCATTATCTCTATTTTTAATTGATCAAAAGATTTTAATACTAATTTTGACATAAAATTGAGTTCTCAATAATAAATTTATAAAATTTACTAACAATCTATTTGTTAATTTTAATTAATTTTAAAGTGTAACACTAAAACTTCATAACTAATTCATTCATTGTAGAGTTATCTTTAGTTTATGTACGCAAATTGATACTTGGAGTATTTTGAGTACTTTTCCGGTAGATAGTTAAGAGATTTACCTGAGTACACGATTAGATACTTTGGCTTGTTGAATGTACGTGTTAGTCAACTGAACAAAAGATATTTTTGCCACCTAAATAAACTTTCTCATGGAATAAAAGACAAGAAGTTATTTTAATAACCAATTATCTGTACTTCCAAACAAAACACATGTCATTTTAGAGATATCTTCGTGTCTCATTGCTGCCCTCACACCATTTGGATTAATTTTGGCTTATTAAAGTTTGGTGAATCGGTTGTTAAGGAAGTGTTAGTTTCATTTTTTTCTAGTTGCATCAATTACGTCGGTAGGTTACTTTTGCACAATGAAGTTTGTTCAGCAAAGACAAGGAAGCTATTTTGGTAAATTTTCTTTCACATTTGTTTCATCGTGTCTAGAGTTCATACCATGCTCTTGTCACTGTCGCAAAAGAATTGTAAGAGATTTTTAATATGAGGTGCGATGTTAAAGAAATTGATTGTTAAATGACTCAATGAGGTACAACAATGCAAAATTATCAAGAAATTGAAAAGGAATGATGCTCAGAGTAAAGTATCATTAGCGCGTGTCTACGATGTAAGCTAGAGAAAAATCATGCACGTGTGAAGCAAACGAAACAAAATTTTACAACAATTTGCTTTCATGTGTGATCATATGTTGGTCATTTTCCTTAGCTTGAAAACATGTTATATAATCAACAGCATGCGTCGTGCCAATTTCACTGTTCACCCATCTCTTGCCATTGCCAAAGCAAAAACTATTGCATCAAGTTTATCAATTCATTATAGAGATTTCAAGTCATCTTTACAATGACTAAGTAAATTCAGAATGCGTATAACACTACAAAAAATATTACTTCACGAAGAGGGTGTTGAAGTCAGCAAACTTAATATTGTGGTGCTGATAGCTTTAGACAATCTATATGTGATTATAACTCAATATGATACTCAAAACATGTACAATATGAACGAGACTGTCTTATTTTTTTCTTACTATCAAGATACAGTTTTTTATGCCGGATGAAGACATATCAACTACCATAGGTAAAAAAAAGTTCAAGTATCGAATTTCTTTTATTTTCTATGCCATAGCTGTGAAAACTCATAAAATACCTTGCATATTGATAGAAAAAACAAAACCACCCGCTTGTATTAAGTATCGTGAATGACATGTTTCATACATGAGTTAGGTGAAAACTTGGATGGTAGTTCAGACATGTTGGAAGTGGTTCAATAAAGTGTTTTTTTTAGATGAAAAAACAAATCGAACATAAGTTTTTTTTGTTGATGTACAATGCTCATGGACATTTTGAGGCTTTTGAATGCAACAATCGTGCTGCTGCTGGAGTTGCATACAAAAATCCAACTTATTTGCTTGATGCTACGAACTATGTCAAAGAAGCTTGGCAATCTGTGTCACTGAGTTTATCAAACATTTATTTGTGAAGGCAGATATAACAAAATCGGAAGTTGATCGCGAAGAAGTGAACGAAATGGAGGATTTAGTGATCAAAGTTACACAAACTATTGCAATTTTAAATGTTTTGATTGGGTAAGAAGAGTTTGAAGAATTTATTCACGTCGATGATGAAAATGTTGAAGTATTTTCCGCTAAAATTTTAGACTATGTTGAAAAACTTTTGAAAACTATGAAGATTGCGGAAGAAAATCTGGATGATAGAATTGATGATGATTATCAAGATTCACATTTGAATTTAGTAAACAGCGTCACATTTAAAGAATTTGAGTCACTTTATAAGCAAGTTGTTGATATAAAAGATCAGTTGTTCTACGAAGAAGTTAGGAAAGAGTCAAACAAACACTTTTTTGATATTAGATATTTATTTGAAACATTTCATAGCAAAGTTTGTGCTGCCACTTTGAAAGCGAAATGAAAGAAAGTTCAGAGCTTGAGTCAAGTGATCATTCATGACATGTTAAGATAAATAAAATTTGATCCGTGTTTTTTTTAATTGCGTAGTTATTTGCAATGTGTATTAAATCGTGTGCGTACTTAACGGGTAGTTTACTGTATTATGATAAAAAAAATTCAGATCATGAAAATTAAAAATTTAAATCAAAAAAATTTGTCATTTTTTTCACATTTATATTTTAATTAACAACTTTGTGGATCAATAAAATGATGTAGACAAATTTTGTGAAAATTTAGCAACCAATGACTTTCATATATGAAAATAATTGAACAAACTAGATATATATACTAGATTAATTGTGTATATGATTTAATTTGAATAACTTTAGAAGGAACTGATTTTAAAACATATTTTAATTACATGTTAGTATTGATTGATCCACAAATTCTTGTAAGTATCTTTGAAGATATTCAAAATAACTCTATATTTATAACTTGAAATATTTAAACTTTATTTTCTATCAGATTAAAAATTA